CAAGAATGACACCCAGCTCTGATGATGTCCATCATATGATGGACGAAAGCTCAGCACATTTTCACCTGAAACGAGGGAGGAAGTCTTGTGGACTGCGTCAACATGAATATTGTATAAAAGCCAAACGGCTGCAGTATAAATAGATTTATTCGTCCTCATCTGGTGAGATCGACCAACGAATCTCTTCTTCATGCACCTTCATACGAAATGAAAGTCCCCCTAACAATGTTATCTCAAGAGATCTATCAAAACTTAGTTTATCTTCGTAGTTTTTTCTTGTCTTGGCTCTAATATAGCAACCTATACATACTTTTAGCTCACTATTTCTCTCTCACATGAAGACCAATGACAAAAACGCTCATTTGGTTGAATTTGGTTGTGACGATGATATCTTGCTCTGATGATATTCGTCATATGACGGACGAAAGCTTAGCATCTTTTCACCGGACTCGGAGGAGATTACATAGGAATGTTCCAGTAAAGCCAAACGGCAGTTAGCTAATACGAATCCACCATTATCTCTTCATTATTCACTTTCACTTGAATTGGGGATGAGCCGAAACATAAGTTCTAGCTCTCACTGCCAGGCGTTTGATTCGACTTGGTAGTGAATTCTACCAAAATGAAGTAGCTAACGAGCTCTTTTGAGAATGTCTCAGATCCAGCTATGAGAATGCTACTGACTGCCCTGTGAACTATTTGGTATGCTGGATTTCCCCTAGCTGCGTCGCTCCATTCCTGCTAACAAAATCTTCTAGCTGAGAAAGAATTCGCCAAATGTCTCAGCACTTCGTCAACTGAGTAGAGGCTTTGGCAAGGCAACTTGCGGTTCACGTGATCGCCGACATGCGCATCAGTGCATACAGTGATGACAACATGTGCTTGTGCGCACATGCGTATCCATACATGAGTACTTCCTAACCAGAGGACAATTTCATACGCATGTATTAAATATGAGTGGGAAAATGCGTCGAAAAGCACATTTCAAACCACACTTCGGATCGCTCTCATGGAAGACCGAAACTTTCGGTCCAAATCCAGAGGCCATAGCTTTGATACCTGTGGCCGTGACAACAGTGCCGATGGAAGCATAGGAGAGAAGGCATAAGCAGTCCAAGAGTTGGCAAATTTATCTGAACTTTGTCATCTTTCTAGGCATGCAGCTTTGGAGTCAAGACCTGTCATCCCTCGCCGTCCTGCCCCTCTTCCTAATAGTTATCGGCTCCGAGCTTTTGGTACATTCGGCAAATCTTCCACAGCCAATCCAGCCGGGACTACAGATACCAGGACAGTTATTGCCTGGACGGCTGCCGCTGTACGAGAGCGACTCAGAAACCTCTTCGACATACACAGAAGATACTCTTAGCGATTCGGAAACAGAGACCCCATCCTACTCCTCCTTCTATAGCGGTAAGTCTGGCTCTGTGCTGATTGCGTCGACTTGACAAGACTCACTAAGAATTCGAAGGTAACTGGGTTTTTTGGTTAATTTGAGCAACTTATAAAGCGGCAGACATTAAGAAACTTATACGAAGAAAAGTTGGGTTTCGAGGAATCTCTTGATTCATAATTGTTGGGCCTACTTCCATTTCGAGTAGAAGTGTTTGGTGACGAGATTCGAAGGTC